GCAAACACAGACATGTGATTGTAAAGAAAAAAATTTCACTTAAGAAATTACCAAAATGAATTAAAGACGGACGGGGTGGAGTTACATGTTCCTGATATTGGCGTGGATACAGCTAAAAACAACTTAAGGTCTGTGACTGATGCGGAGCAATGACGTTGAGAACTGGGGGATGGAAACTTCTAATCAGGGTTGGAAGATTAGTCTCCGTTGTCATTTTAATAGAGAATATAGAACACTTTTTACACTTTGACGTATGAAGTTGCTGAGTCAGGACTTACCCCGGGGCCGAGGGCGTCAACGGGGCTAGTTGGGCAGAAGTCCCAGTTTGCTGAAGAGTGCACTGCGGAGAGAGAGACAGAGAGAGAGAGAGAGAGAGAGAGCTGCGTGAGTGATGCGTGTGGCGCGTGTAAACTCTGCATCTAATGAACAAGCTTTACCTCCAACGCGGACGCTCCTCTTCAGATCTGTGGCCACTGGCTGCTGCTGAGGCTTTGGGGCAATAAGCTCGAGGTCAAAAGCACAATGTTTGGGGCTGACAGTCTGAAGAGAAGTCATTGGGGGTCATTACATGCAGAGTTTAACTGGAGCAGGGGGGAAAAACAGCGCGATTGGAAATGGATCGGTCCAGGCGGTGAAAAAAACCAAAATCAAGTAAGAAAGTAGTAAGTAATATTTATTTATATAGCGTCTTTCACGGACCAGAGTCACACAACGCTTTTACAATTTGTTGTTATTGGGGCGTTTTGTCGCTCACTCCACACAGAGATGGAGATTCCAGACTCATTGTACATGTTTTTAGTGGTAGGGGAAACCGGAGCACCCAAATGAAACCTTCGCAGACACGGGGAGGACATGCAAACTCCACAGAACTGGCCTAGAGGTGGAATCGAACCCAGGACCTTTTTGCTTTGAAGCAGCAGCTCTAATCGTGCGCCACCGTGCTTCATCGAATGCAATACGTTCAAATACTTTTTCCACGGCTTTTTGTTTTGGAAGTGTAATTTCGTGTGTACATTGGTCTTCATACTATGTGACTGTCTCTGTTTGTATAAAATTATCTTTCTACTTCTACCTTTAACGCCCAGATTTTTAGTCTCTTGGCAAACCAACATTTTATTGCACTTCAAACAACTATTCTCGAGGGGCTGGCCCTGGATTGGTCCTAGACTGGTCCTAGGCTGGTCCTAGACTGGTTCGGAGTAATCTCAGCCCGAGGCTTACTATACCAACTCACTGTTTACTTGCTGCAGTTAGCATTTAGTACCCTTTAAACAAACTATCTCTTCTGTATTTCAAGTTATTTTAAACAGTTATAGCACGTATTAAAAATAAAATCCATATACATTGCTAAATTTGAATAAAAGTAGTAAAAAAAGCCATTAATTTGAATGGGCGCCATCAAAATGACTGCAATATGTCGCTTTAAAAAACACGTTTCGCCAACATAAAAGTTTTTATACAGACCATTCTGAACAACATTAAAACCATTGGATTATTTTGGCAGATCTCACATTCTATTTTTTTTCCTGAGACATTTACAGGGAAATAGGTGAATATATATTTATACTAAAGGCAGCAATTACTGACATGCCATTGTGAGTGCGGACGTACAAACTGGACATTTTAGACTTTAGGACCATTAAATCCCAGGTTTGGGTTTGGTTGTAAGGGTGACGGTGGCAGCCATCTTGGGAGTTGAAGAAGAAAAAATTTTGAATAGAAATGAATACAACGTTGTCACTAAACTAAAGTCACCCCTGTACAATAAAGCGGCTCATACTGTAACAACAGAAATGCAAGACCAAGTAAGCATTTTAAAAATCTCTGTATACAAGCTTTTGTAATCTTCCAAGTCAAGGAAGCGGTCACAGTTTCTGCGTTCAAGGCCAGGCTTAAAACATTCCTCTTTGATTCAGCACATGGCTTGGTAGAAATAGCAAATGCAAAACGGTTAAAACTGCAGTTAGGGCAAACTGCACAGACGGTTTGAGGCTTAAGATTTTATCCTATTTGTAGTAAAATGTCAAAAGTGTAGGGTAGATTGCTTGGATACGATACCAGATACAATGGAATGGAATGGAAAGACAACCAGGTAGAGTAGAGAAGAGTAGAGAAGAGTAGTGAAGAGTAGAGAAGAACCATTTAGGGCTGGTGGAGATGGGGCAAATTTCCGCAAAAACTCAACCACAAACAAATACATCTTTAATAAAAGGCTCCTGTTAATGTGCACTTCCCTTGTATTGACTTTTAAAGAATACTGACATAAGAACAGTGTCAATTATTCAAAGGGCTGCCATTTCCGTTGCACCACGCTGCTAATGAGAGGCTAATTACAACTAAGCTAACACGGTGCAGCGGGGGATGTTTGGCCCGACTGTGCGAGAAAATCAACAACGTCGTTTTAACAATGGCACCCGTCAAGCTGATACCATGAAGACGGCTGTAAATACCCCACGGTTGAAAAGGTTTTGAGGTAGAAAAAAATAAAGGGTGGGTTTGGCTCCCCCAGTGGTTGATGCATGTCACTACAGCAGCAGAACTCAACTCAGAGAAAGACCAGAGAGAGTGACCAGACACCAGAGAGACCAGGGAGAGACCAGAGAGAGACCAGAGAGAGACCAGCGAGAGAGACCAGCGAGGGAGACCAGCGAGGGAGACCAGCGAGGGAGACCAGCGAGGGAGACCAGCGAGGGAGACCAGCGAGGGAGACCAGCGAGGGAGACCAGCGAGAGACCAGAGAGAGACCAGAGTAAGATTAGAGCGAGACAAGCGAGAGACATGAGAGAGACCAGAGAGAGACCAGAAAGGGACCAGAGAGAGACCAGAGAGAGACCACAGAGAGAGCAAAGTAAGAGATACCAGAGTGCGCTGCTGATCAGAGTGGAGCAAGAGTGGTATGAGAGCAACAGTCAAAATGTGAGACAAGATTATACTCTGACAATATTCAAGCCAATCCAAGCCGTATCAGTGGCTATGTCTGCAATTCAAAAGCTCAAAGCTCTTAATCTGACCCTTCAGTTTAGTTCAATGAATGCTGAGAGCTGAAAGCACAAAAGTTGCTTTGAGTAAAATATTTACCTACTACCTGTACTTAGAGTCCCGGACAGTCAGGACGAAAACAAATCAACTGGCTCAGATCTAACTGCATGTAATTCAGGGCTTTAGAATTATCTCAACAACAAAAAAAAGGATCCAGGATCTAGAGCTGAATCCACAGCTTCGGTCCTGGTTCTTCAGCCGCAGTCCTGGATCTACAGCCTCAGTCCTGGATCTACAGCCTCAATCCTGGATCTACAGCCGCAGTCCTAGATCAACAGCCTCAGTCCTGGATCTACAGCCGCAGTCCTAAATCTACAGCCGCAGTCCTACATCTACAGCCGCAGTCCTACATCTACAGCCGCAGTCCTAGATCTACAGCCGCAGTCCTAGATCTACAGCCTCAGTCCTGGATCCACAGCCTCAGTCCTGGATCCACAGCCTCAGTCCTAGATCCACAGCCTCAGTCCTAGATCTACAGCCGCAGTCCTAGATCTACAGCCGCAGTCCTAGATCTACAGCCGCAGTCCTAGATATACAGCTGCAGTCCTAGATATACAGCTGCAGTCCTGGGTCTACAGCCTCAATCCTGGATCTACAGCCGCAGTCCTAGATCAACAGCCTCAGTCCTGGATCTACAGCCGCAGTCCTAAATCTACAGCCGCAGTCCTAGATCTACAGCCGCAGTCCTAGATCTACAGCCGCAGTCCTAGATCTACAGCCTCAGTCCTGGATCCACAGCCTCAGTCCTGGATCCACAGCCTCAGTCCTGGATCCACAGCCTCAGTCCTAGATCTACAGCCTCAGTCCTAGATCTACAGCCGCAGTCCTAGATCTACAGCCGCAGTCCTAGATCTACAGCCGCAGTCCTAGATATACAGCTGCAGTCCTGGGTCTACAGCCTCAATCCTGGATCTACAGCCGCAGTCCTAGATCAACAGCCTCAGTCCTGGATCTACAGCCGCAGTCCTAAATCTACAGCCGCAGTCCTAGATCTACAGCCGCAGTCCTAGATCTACAGCCGCAGTCCTAGATCCACAGCCTCAGTCCTGGATCCACAGCCTCAGTCCTGGATCCACAGCCTCAGTCCTGGATCCACAGCCTCAGTCCTGGATCCACAGCCTCAGTCCTGGATCCACAGCCTCAGTCCTGGATCCACAGCCTCAGTCCTGGATCCACAGCCTCAGTCCTGGATCCACAGCCTCAGTCCTGGATCCACAGCCTCAGTCCTGGATCCACAGCCTCAGTCCTGGATCCACAGCCTCAGTCCTGGATCCACAGCCTCAGTCCTAGATCTACAGCCTCAGTCCTAGATCTACAGCCTCAGTCCTAGATCTACAGCCTCAGTCCTAGATCTACAGCCGCAGTCCTAGATCTACAGCCGCAGTCCTAGATATAAAGCTGCAGTCCTGGGTCTACAGCCTCAGTCCTAGATCTACAGCTTCAGTCCTGGATCTACAGCTGCAGTCCTGGAGCTACAGCCTCAGTCCTGGATCTAGAGCCTTTTTGTCCGTGGGTCTCTGAAAAGCGTGAGTTAATTACATAATAAAATCAGACTAAGCCGTTATCATCAGCTATTCATCAAACACCATGAATGCAGTAGCTTAAGGCAGAGATCCAGAATTCATAATTGCAAACCATTTTTGAATCCATGTTAGCAGCAAATTAGTATCCAGCAAAACGCAAACTGTTTTAGTCCGGTTGTCATGTGTCCTGTGAAAGAACAATCGCTGCTGGGTTTTATTTTCCCATTCTTAGAGTCTATTGTGCTCTACATAATAATAGCACATATTTTGTCCCAGGGTGATTGTTTTAAATGATTCCAAATACACCAACCTTTTTTCCACAACAACAAAATAGTGCAAGCAGTTAACCAGAGCATTTGAGTTTTTGTAAAAATACACCTTTGTTGGATGTGAAAATGTGTGGATGGATCCGTGGTGCTTCTCGTGGTGTGTTCAAACTCACCTGTAGATGAGGAAACTGGAGATGCCAAAGATGATGAGAGCCAGACCAGACCCCACCGCCACGATTCCCAACACAGGGAGCTGATCTACAAGAGAGCAGAGGCCAACTGAGTGTCTGCGAACGCACCGCAAACAAAATAAAGTGGTCAACCATAAGAACACAGCTTCAGAATATACAAATATCGGTATTGTATGGCAGTTCAGCTAGGTGAATTATGCTAGTTATTGCATGGGGTTTTCCTTACTAAAGAAGATGATAGTTCATTGTTTGACTGGAGAAATTATGAATAGATCTCCAGGTGACATTTGATGACGGGAAAGACGTTGTAAACATGGTTGAACAATCAATCAATCATTTATTTGTATAGCACAATTCATGTACAAGGCAATTCATAGTACTTCACTGGAGAAATTTTAAAACGCAGATCAAAATGCATTCAAAAGCCAATAAAAAAATACAATTATTTCATACTAAAATAGAGCAGTCTCGGGTTTAAATGTATTAAAAAGGGGGCTTAAAAAGGGCAATAAAAGTTAGTAGTACAAAATAGAATCAGTCAGTTGTATGCACCGCTAAGAAAAATGTTTTCAGCCTAGTTTTGAACATTGTCAGGGTATGTGACCGATTTCTGTAGTGGAAAGGAAAAGTAGCCTAGTTCATAAGAATAGTGATATTTGCTATACATTTCTAGAAAGAAAAAAACATTAAATAGATTTATTGATTACTAAGAATTGTTAGTTGCATTTACATTAATTACAAACCTGCCGGACCAGGGAATTAAACTAATTGCAATGGCTCGACAGTGACATAACGTCTTACATAACTGTTATAAAGCCTTCAATAGTGAGTGTCCTTCGTCCATCTCTCCCTCAGACTCTGAAACTTCCAGTTTATATGTTACTAGGATGAAAGGTACAACACTATTGGTTTATATTAATCTGTATGTAATTCAGGACTTTAGAATTCTCCATGTTTTAGGTTCTGGATCCCGAGTCCTTAGGACTGAGCGTGTGCATGTGCGTGTGCGCGTGTGCGCGTGTGTGCGCGTGTGCGTGTGTGTGTGTGTGTGCGCATCTGTGCGTGTGTCCTCACCGTCGTTACAGGAGGGGTCGTCTGATGAGAACACACACGGAGGGTTGTCCAGAGGCGGCCCCCCACTGGGCCACGTGATCCGCTCCGTCTGAGACCACACGAGGTCTTTGGTGGAGCCGTTATAGTTCGCCACCACCTGCAACACAACAGTGAAATCTAGATTTACAAAGACGATATCAAAGCATAAACACCGGGATCACAGACAGCGCAAAACCAGATTTGTTAAACCCAAAATAGTGAGAGAGACACAAGCGGTTACTGAGCTAGAGGAGTTTACTTCTAGCTCAATAGGAGCAAGAGCGAGTTGGAGCAGAACTTTGTCCATGAGCCCTTCCCTTTTGTAAGCAAGACTTCTTTATTTATATAGCACCTTTAACAGACCAGAGTCACAAAGCGCTTTGCAATTGTCATGGGCATTTGTATCTCATTCCCAGTGATGGGAATAACGGCGTTACTAGTAACGGCGTTACTAACGCCGTTACTTTTTTCAGTAACGAGTAATCTAACCAATTACTTTGACAGTAACTATAACGCCGTTATCATTTCCGACATCCCGTTACTGCGCGTTACTCAAGACGCACAATGAACGTGTTGTCATGAGAGAAGGGAGGATGAGAAAACCTCTCAGCAATTATTGGCTGATGTAAAACATATTTCCTTTACAATCTACATGTCTACAGTTGAGAGGATGCTCATAAATTGTGTTTTTGAAACAAATATGGGTCTTAATCGCGCTCAACCACGGCTTGTATCACCGTGAGGTCAGCCACAGAGGAGCGCATGTGAGCGCAGAAGTCGGCTGCATACAATTCCATCGATAAGCTCCTTTCTCTTCCTGGTTTATCTGCTAAGGACAGCAACAGGTTTGGCTAACATACATATAACACATTTTTACATAATCTAAAATGCACATAGGGTAATTTTTCAATTACTATAGGAATGATAAGAAAGAGGTGAAGTGTAAGACGGTTGATTTTAGAAATTGGATGCAGCCGGCTGCAGCAAAACAGAGGAGTTTACGGAGGACACACGCGTTTTGTTTTACTTTTTAAAACTCATTGGACTCATTTACAAATGGAGGATTACATATCTACGCTCAAACCATTCACTGGATTTAAACAAGGAACTGGTCTGAACCGAAGTGGACTGTGCAGGTCATTTATAAGGTAAGACCCATAACTCATAGTTTTGCGTTTTGTATGAACACACAATGCAGGCATAAAACATATTTTGCTGTAGCCAAACAAATTGTCCACTTGATTTATATGATGTATATGTTCATCTGATTGGACTGAAGTCAGTGCTTCACCGGTGTTTCCACATTCACAGTGGCGGGCTTTACAGCACAGAGAGAGATTAAGAGTGAACAGGACTTCAGCAGCAAAACAGCCTTTTCTAGATGGAAATATTGGCACTGTTAAAGGTACAAATGCGCACGTCGGGTGCACATTATGTTCCAGAACAAAACGAAAAAGTAACGCAATAGTTACTTTTACTGGTAACTAGTTACTTTTATAGTGGAGTAACTCCGTTAGTAACTCAGTTACTTTTTGGGAGAAGTAACTAGTAACTATAACTAATTACTTTTTCAAAGTAACGTGCCCAACACTGCTCATTCCACACAGAGATGGGAGGGGTGTCACCAAACAGGAGGCGCAGGCCAGACCTCACATATTTTTAGTCGTAGTGAAGAAGATGACAAAGTCTGGGATCGTGTCTTTAATTCAGACAGAAGACATGTTTTATTGTTGATGTTGGAGAACGAACAAGAACACGAACAAAGAATGTTACAAACTGCAAGTGATAATATAGCATGGAGGAATGAACACCGTCCAATCAGCTTTCGCCGCGATGCCAGTAGCTTTGCCTTCAGATAGACAAAACAATGGAATAGTGCTGGCTCCTTAGCCTGGCCTTAGCCATCCGTACACTCCGCTCAATCATCATTTCACTGCATGTAACGTCTGGGTCTGGTCCCTGGGTTAGCGAATACAATCGGTCGTATTTCGACCGGCTACTCAGAGAGCGCGGAAGGCGGGTGTTGTAGGTCGGTGCTGGTGACGTCAAGAGTTTGCGCCGAACGGGCAGGTTGTGGTTTGGCAATGGCAAAAAATGCGATAGTAAAGTAATCCGGTCTGGTTCTATCAAGAAATTGAAGCAGGAGCAAGAGGAATGTTTAGCAAATGTAATCGCTGGTCAAGATTGTGGCGCAACTCCCCACGGGCTCCGTTAGCAGCAAAGGAGATGGCTAGGCTAAATGCTAAATGCTAACAACACACTCGGGCGCACTACATACGTCACGGTAAACTTGGTTCCAATTGTTTCAATCTGCAAAAGGAGTTAACCCCTCCCACCTGTAAACAGAGTCTATGAAGCACCTCCAGACCTTAGTATGAAATGTAATTTGTACTAAGGTGTGGTACAACCAGGCTACTGGCTCCTGCAAATGTGTTATGAAATCACTACAGTAGGAGAAACCGAAGCACCCGGAGGAAACCTACGCAGACACAAGGAGTACATGCAAACTCCACACAGAAAGTCCTGGAGGTGGAATCGAACCCAGGACCTTCTAGCTGTGAGGTACAAGCGCTAATCACTGCGCCACCGTGCTGCTTACTGGGCTTCCTTGAGCCAACGGGTTAGAATTGTCTGTGTGTAACTGAATGTTACCGAAGTATTAAAGTTATCCTTCATTCATTAATTCATACATACAGTCTATGGGGCTGGGAACTTTCTTTTTAGAGAAAAAAATACAGTAATTTTTTACTTTTTCAAACCACTACCCGGGGGAAATTCCTTGGTAGCCATGGCTTCCAGTAGCACTCTGGTTAATCTTTCCTTTATTTCCACTTTTTATTGTACATAATCATATCCTGCACAGACTATAATTTTAACCTTTAACATGTTGCAGACTTCTGTCTTTTGCACAATCCGAGTGATTCTATCTGTGCCAAATGTGAGCTGTACATTTCTCCACTGTGAGATCAATAAAGTCTATTTTATCTTATCACTTTGGTCGCAGCTCGGCCTGGATAGAACCAGGGCCCAAAGTACTGGTTAAACAGGGCTCTTGGAAACACTCCCTTTTGGGGTAGTGTAGAGTCACTACATGAGGGTAGAATAGTTGAGTAGAGTTGAGGGATTTAACGTTTTAATCTTTTTTCTGTGTTGTGTGATTGTTGTTGTCTCCTGGCAGCAGCAGACGGAGTAGGAGGAGGGGGGGGGGGGGGGATTGTAGCCCGACTGAGTAGATCTGTGCTGTGAAACCGGACCCCAGAGGGCAGATATTTTGGGGCTTCTGAGAGTGGGTCCCGCTGAGGGTCACGTAAACACGGCTGTAACACTGTACTCTTCACACTGACACTGTGCCTTCGGGCAAGCACCTCACACACCAGGCCCATTCAACGCCTACAAAACACACAAATATGTACGTTTCTTCTTGTTTACTGGGTCAGTCCAATACCATACTCCAAAACTGCCGCCAGAATCTACTTTATTATATGTAGTGTTAGAAGAATTGGTCTTAAGAGTATTAGGATGTGGAACAACGATTTACAAATATAATATCACAATATAAACTCCAGGATCCCAGAGAAAGCTAAACCACAGATTGTTATGGCCCAAAATGGTGAGTGTGACACAGTTAGAGGAGTTTGCTTTTCCATGTAAATCAATAGGAGCCAGTCCAGAGTGAGTTAGAGCAAAATTCCCTATTGTCAATGCACTCACCCCGTACTCTCCCGTCTCCTGATTGGTCATCGCCCACAGGCTCAGGTCAGTGTCCCGAGCGTTTTTCTCATCCGTCGTCACCATCCCAGTGACTCCTGAAACACAGATGCACTCACATGTGGGAGGGAAAAATACACAAACCACACAAAAAAAAAACTCAGATTTGATCTTTATCATATCATCAAGAAGCACCGACAATATACACATTATAATATGTGTTAATAAGACTTCAGTTTGGATCATTCTCAGCCTGAGTTACATTTGTTTCTGTTCAATTAAGCCAGAAACAAATTTAATACGTACTCCTTTTCGATTGGAGAGCTACTTTTTCAAAACAGAAATGGTAGAGAGCTACTCCTTAAGGAAACGTAATACTATTGTAGTCTGTTTAATAACTACAGCCGATCATGTAGAACACAAATGCAAAGTACACCAATAAACCGCAATATAATAAATACAAAAATTATAGTTTAAACAGATATGTAAAAAGAGAATCACTCAGGATCTTGTTTTAAATTCTCTGTATCCTTTGGGGAGCTTCTTGAAAGGGGGTGGTGAGATACTGGTAGCTCCCGGGCCCTGCACTTTAGCATTCACTTTCTTACTGGTAGAAATATATGAATAAACAAGATTAATGAATATAAGATGGCCTTTTAGTGGTATTCTAAAGACATGGTGCACATTATAATGCATTGTTTTTTTTATACAGCGCTTTTTCTGGACACTCAAAGACGCTTCACAGTATTAACACAGTGGTGATAAACTACTACTGTAGCCGTAGCTGCCCTGGGGCACACTGACAGAAGCGAGGCAACCAGGCTGTGCCATCAGCCCCTCCCACCACCACCAACCATTCACACACATCAGACTAATTCTAATGTGGGTGAAGTGTCTTGCTGTGGCTTCTGGATTTTGCAGAACACAACTGCCTTTAGAACCGGTCCCTTCACGTTGCCTTGAGAGAAAGATCACGGTCTGTGTTTTTCTCCGAGTCTAAAGTTTTTTGTCGCTGGTTGAATGAGAGACGGAGACGAGGACAGCTCCATCGTCAAGCTGTCTCCATAGCAACCGCAACAAGTATTGAGGACGATTTCAAGAGATTTTATTTGCGGAATTATTCAATGTCAAATAAGAAAGAAAAGCAGCCCCAGAGAGCGGAGGGGATTCATTAGACGTTCTTTATCAAAAGTACCTTTAGCATCTTTTTCAAAACAGTTCAGGGTCAGGACTGAGACGAAACATTGGGAAAACGACGAGAGATTTTCAGTTGGTTTTTCTTCACATGGTTTGAAATGTAGTCGTGTTGTTCTTAACGGTTTTTAAATGAAGGACACACGTTATATAAATGTTGTTTTTGATCACACAGAGAAAGAAAGTGCTAAACTTCGACTTTTTAGGACCAAAATGGTGAGTGTTGCTCAAACGGTTACTGAGCGAGAGGAGTTTACTTTTACATGTGAGTCAATAAGAGCAAAACTTTGTCCACGAGCACTTACCTGGTGGTTATTCATTAAGCTAGTGGGTTAGCATTGCCGTCTGTACACAGTCTATGGTGCCGGGTACTTTATTTTCCGATTGCCTATTGACTTGTACAAAAGATAGGACTTCATCTTTAGCCAAAACAGTTATTCAATATTTGTCTATGTTTTTGTTGTATGAGCAAAACTTCATCAATGAGCACTTCCTTCGTTCTCTTTTATTTCTTTTTGTAAAATGTGAATTAAGATCAAAGAAGCTACGACTAAGAAATATGTCTGATTTCGGAACATTGTAAAGCTCTTTGGTTGGCCTTGGCCTGGAAAATGTGCTTATATAAATAAACGGCACGGTGGCTCAGTGGTTAGCCCTCTTGCTTCTCAGCAAGAAGGTCCTGGGTTCGAATCCTGATCGGAACAGGGTCTTTCTGAGTGGAGTTTGCATGTTCTCCTTGTGTCTGCGTAGGTTTCCTCCGGGTACTCCGGTTTCCCCTACACCTAAAAACATGTACAATAGGTCTGGCATGTGCCTCCTGTACTGGCCCTGCTCCCATCTCTGTGTGGAGGGAGAGACAAGTGCCCACAAATGTAAACCGCTTTGTGACTCTGGTCTGTGAAAGGCGAATCACATAATGTCAAAGTATAATGGAATAAACGCAACACAAATAATGCAAAAAAATTGTTATTATAATGAAGAAATGAAAGAAAATGAATGAATCTCCTCCAACTTGATTTAAACGGAGCTGTACAGTTTTTTTTGAGCACTGGTTCCATGGTTGATTCTTTTGACAGTAAACATCAGCCGCTTCAAATGAATTAGCCATGCAGTAATCGCCGGATGGGGCATAAGTGGCTTTAGATACTTGGGTCGTGACAAGCCTCCAAACATGTCCGACACAAGGAGAAAGGTCAATAAACAAGAAGTGGACTGACCATTGTGCTTGGCTTCAGGGAAAAGGGTTAAGGTACTGAAACAGGCTTCATGGGAGGAAATATGGAGTCCAAAACAGCGCTAGAAACAACTTGGCAACCAAAAAACCCAATCAGGCATGTGTGTGTGCTACACCAGATCAGAGAGAGAGAGACCAGGAAAAGATCAGAGAGAGCGCAAAGACGCAGACCAGAGAGAGATCACGGAGAGACCAGGGAGAGACCAGAGTGAGACCAGAGAGCGACCAGGGAGAGACCACCGAGAAACCAGAGAGAGACCAGGGAAAGACCAGAGAGAAACCAGAGAGAGACCAGAGTGAGACCAGAGTGAGACCAGAGAGAGACCAGAGAGAGACCAGAGAGAGACCAGAGAGAGACCAGATAGAGACCAGATAGAGACCAGATAGAGACCAGATAGAGACCAGATAGAGACCAGATAGAGACCAGATAGAGACCAGATAGAGACCAGATAGAGACCAGATAGAAACCAGAGAGAAACCAGAGAGAGACCAGAGAGAGACCAGAGAGAGACCAGAGAGAGACCAGATAGAGACTAGAGAGAGACCAGAGAGAGACCAGAGAGAAACCAGAGAGAGACCAGAGAAAGAATTTTTTTAAATTTGTTTTAAAAAATGTAGATAGATATATATTTATTCGTGATGCACCGACACCACTTTTTCAAAGCCGATACTAGTACCTTAAATTGAATACTTGCCGATACCGAATACTGTTACGAGTACATTGTGTTATCCCTGGGAATTCAGCAATAAGAAAATGCTTCAACAATGAAACATTTACCAATTATTTTCACAGTCAAGAATATGGGCCACTGTCATATTCCGCTCCATGTGTTCAGGTGAGTTGCTCTTCTCTGTGAATCTAGGCCTTTAAAGTTGTGATTTTGACACAGAGTGAATGAGTCCCAGCGGTTCCTACCCCAGAAGCTGCGGTTGGCGGTCCTCATGGTGATGTTGATGCCGTCGTTCTGAGCACCACCGTCGGCCAACGTCTCCTGCAGCGCCATGGCGTATAGCAGGAACCCGTCATAGAAGCTGCCGGCGATGAGATCCATCTGTGCGCACCAGAAACACTAAGTTAGACTTAAATTATAGAGAGAGACCAAGTGAGAGACCAGAGAGAAACACAAGAGAAATCAGAGAGAGGGAGACCAGAGAGAGACCAGCAAGAGACCAGAGAGAGACCAGCGAGAGACCAGAGGGAGACCAGCGAGAGACCAGAGGGAGACCAGAGGGAGACCAGAGAGAGACCAGAGAGAGACCAGAGAAAGACCAGAGAGAGACTAGAGAAAAACCGGTGAAGGACCTAAAGGAGACTGGAAAGATATCAGATAGAGACAAGAGAGAGACCAGAGAGAGTCCATTGAATGATCAGAAAGAAACCTGAGAAACACCAAAGAGAGACCAGAGAGAGAAACCAGAAAGAGATCAGAGAGAGACCCCTGAAGGACCAAAAAGAAACTGGAGAGACACCAAAGAGAGAGCAGAGGCCAGAGAGAAACTAGAGAGAAACTAGAGATACTAGAGAGACCAGAGACCAGAAAGAGAGAAACCAGAGTGAGACCAAGTGAGGGACCAGATAAAGTAAATGTTAAAGATAGTTTTAAACTGCCTTTTCCTCCATTTATTGTGGAAAAGCAGCTTTGAGGCCAACAGCTCTGAAGCCGCACATTTAGTCCATTGTTAGTGAAACATTATGTTCTCGTGAAAACACAAATCACCAGTGTAGTAAATGCTAACGCCGTGTTCGTCATTAGCTTACGCACACACTCCAGTTTGTGCTCACATAAAAGAACTTTGCTGTTGCCGACTTTGCTACTGATATCTATCGTAAAACAACAATAAAAATAAAGGGGAAGACAGAAAATTGAATAAATATGAAGGCATGGGAATAATTAAACCGATTACTATTGTTGTGAGATTATGTCTTGCTGATAACCCATTTTACCAGAAAGAGACTACAGGAAGACTAGAGGGAGACTATAGAGAGAGAGACCAGGGAGAGACTATAGAGACAGAGACCAGAGAGAGACTAGAGAGAGAGACCAGGGAGCAACCAAAGAGAGAAACAAGATAGAGATCAGAGAGAGACCAGAGAAGGACCAGAGAGATCTGAGATGGAGACTAGAGAGAGACCAGAGAGAGACAAGAGAGACACCAGAGAGAGACCAGAAAGAGACAGACCAGAGAGCCCAAAGAGAGACTATAGAGAGACCAGAGAGAGGAAGACCAGGGAGACCAATCTCTAATAGAGACACACACAAAAAAAAAACAGATACTTTTTCCATTGACAAAACTTTAAAAGAAATTATCTTGTTGGGTACTGACCAGTGAGGGCTCCAGGTGGACCCCAAACTCCTGGTAGGTGCGGGCGTGGAGCTCCTTCTGGAAGGCCTGGTACTCTGGGTTATCCGGAGGCCGATACGTGATCACGAACACGGACTGAACCAGACACAAGAGAGACCAGGTTAGAAGAAAAGGTGGAATATTTCTGAGATTACGATTCTGGATTCCCTGTATGTTTTAAAAAGTTTGGAATGATAATATTATGCTTCTGCCAACAACAAGACCAAAGATACTTGTTCTATTGACAAAAACCAGAGAGAGACCTGAGAAAGAAACCAGAGAGAGACCAGAGAGAAAGGCCAAAGAGAGACTAGAGAGAAAAACCAGAGGGGGATCAGGGAGAGACCGGAGAGAGACAGAGAGAAAGACCAGAGAAAGAGACCAGAGAGAGACCGAAGAGAAAGACCAGAGAGAGATCAGGGCGAGACCGGAGAGAGAAAGACCAGAGAAAGACCAGAGAGAGAGACCAGAGAGAGACCAGAGAGAGACCAGAGAGAGACCAGAGAGGGACCAGGGAAAGAGACCAGAGAAAGACCAGAGAGACCGGAGAGAGACCGGAGAGAAAGACTGGAGAGAAAGACCAGATAGAGACCAGAGACAGAACAGAGAGAGCCAGAGAGAGAGCAGATATATGTTTTCTTCAGAAATGTAAATCATCTTTATGACCTGAGACTGATCTGGTCACTAAATACACAAGGGATAGGCTGAATCTCTAAAATCAGCATATTTTCAGTTCTTAATGGGATCCAAATAGAATCTACTTTTAGCTCTTAGGACTAAGATTTGTTCCTGAATTACAGTCAGAGTGCTTCGATTAGTGTGCTGAGACATTTGCTAAGTGCTGCGTTTAGAGCGTTCATTATTCCGATGTGGAGGAGGTCATTGTGGCTCTGGTCTGTGATTGGGGCAAACTTTTGGTCCAAACTTTTAGTAAGAGGGCCACTATAGCACAGTTCATACACAAGGCAACTCACTAAACTGTTTTTAACCTGGATTTGAATAATGTCAGAGTGGAGGCCCGTCTCATATTTTCTCAACTCCGGGCAGTCGGGCACCAGTAGTTTATTAGCGTGAACTATTTCACCATAGCTTCATTAGTGCCATGTATGGATCAGAGAGAGAGAGGCCAGAAAATGGCCGGTGATTTACCAGAGCGAGACCAGAGAGCGACTAGAGCGACCAGAGTAAGACCAGAGCGAGAGTAGAGAGAAACCAGAGAGACCAGAGAGAGACAAGAGGGATTAGAGAGACCAGAGAGAGACCAGTGAGAGACCAGAGAGAGACTAGAGAGAGATCAGAGACAGACAAGAGAGAGACCAAAGTAAGACCAATGTGAGACCAGAGAGAGACCAGAGAGAAACCAGTGAAAGACCAGAGAGAGACCAGAGAGAGACACGTGAGAGAGACCAGAGAGAGAGCAGAGAAACATAAAGAGCTTAATTAGCGCCACAGTCATAGTCAGTCTACACTATCTAAGTAAACAACAGGTTTCCAGAGGTTCTGACATCAAGGTATAACATGCCTATATTAGTAGAGTTGAAGTTGGCTGGATGACACGGTGAACTTGTCAAAGGCTACACTAGGTTAGCAAAGGTTGCCTCGTCAGTAGCAGAGTCAACTCAGCCTGTACCTTGAAGAACTGGATGGGATCGGCCCAGTCCGGGTCGGCGTTGAGCCAGGGCCGGCGCTGGCTCAGGCTTTCGGCGAAGACATCCAGGTAGAAGATAGCGTAGTTCTCGGGATCTTTGATCTCGCTCTGGAACAGCTTCATGATCATCAGGAAGGAGTCCAGGGGTCCACAAATGTAGATGACTGTGAGAGAAACAGAAGGAGAAAGTGAGAGACTCAGCAAAATCAGAATCAGATTCATTTTATTTACCATTTGCAGTAAAACCACAATGCAATACATGTGCAAAAGTCGCCAGTGAGCACAAGACAAGTACATAAATAAAACAAGGTTAAAAGTACAGGAAAAAAAAATACAAAACAGGAATCAATTGACGCTGGGAAATTGATCAACAAACAGTTTCAATACAAGTGCAAGATCAATGAAGATCAGAGGAACACAAGGATGGGGGATCTGCAGCAGAAAACCACTGGTTGATTTGATTTTTACTGGATGTTTGGGGTGAGAGAGGGAACAGAGAGAAACAGGAGCGAGACCAGAGAGGGACCAAAGAGAGTGAGATCAGAGAGCCCAAAGAGGGACCAGAGAGTAAAGTAGTAAAGGAGGTAATCTGTATTTACTGTATATAGCACCTTTCTCAGACCAGAGTCACAAAGCGCTTTACAATTGATGTAGGCATTTTGGACAGAGATGAGCAAGGTCGCCAGTATAGCGGATGCCTATTGTACATGTTTTTAATGGTAGGAGAAACTGGAGCACCTAGAGAAAATCTTTCGCAGACACAAGGAGAAGATGTAAACTCCACATAGAAAGGTCTATGGGTGAAATCGAACCCAGGACCTTCTTGCAGTGAAGCATAAGTGCTAACCACTGCACCACCCAGACAGCCAAAGAAAGACCAGAGAGAGACCAGAGAGAAAGACCACGGAGAGATCAGATAAGGCAAAATCTTCAAAATGAACGAAAATCTCTCTTATCACGCACACTGTGAAATGAGTAAAGATGATGGGGTTGTAATGAAGCCGGTTCGAACATAAGCGAGCTGGAGCCAATTTTCTTCCGTTCTGATGGTGTTAGCCTCGGGCCATAACAGGGTTGCTAACATGGTTACTAAAGCAGGCTAAAGTTTCCCCCATGAATGAAGGCATCTGATTGGTCAATACTTACATAGCTCATATCTGGATTTGCAAATACAATACAATATAAACACCAGGATCACAGAGCACTGACTAAACCATGGATGCAACTCACCATTTTAGGTGCGAAATGGTGAGTGTGACATAAACGGTTAATAGGAGCCAGAGCGAGTTGGAGCCAACAAAAAAAACTACTCCCAATTGGGCTACATTGAGCTAGCGGGTAAGCATACTCTGTTGCCCCAGTGCATCGTGGGAGTGGAGTGATTACAGTGATCAGACATGTCTTTCCATCAGAGGAAACACTCTCCGCCACTCCAATCAATGCCCTGAGAAAACACACAGAAAACACTTTGGTGAGGAGCGAGACCGAGACCGAGAGTGGACCTCAACACAAGAAGTATGTTATCGCCGCGTACGTGAACAAAAGCAATGCATAACATTTGAATCAAATTAACAGCGAGATCAATAGTCAACAGAAAGTGGTATTAGCCTGGAGCAGGGATAAGGAACTACTGCGGATTTGAGGAATAATATTAACACTATTTATTTCAATGTATTTGGGTATAGTCCTAAATCACCACAGAAGTCGTCTTGGGAGGACTTTATAATGTTGTGGATTGATAATGATAATAGTAATAGTAATAGTGATAGTTAGTTAGTAGATAGATACTTTATTGATCCCTGTAGGAGAAATTCAGTTGTCAAGTAGCAGCAAAAACACATCCATCCACACACACACAAAAAAAAATAAAAAAAATAAAAAAAAGGAGCCATTGGTTTATAGGAGGCGGACGACCATTGTTCGTAAATGTTAATAAATGTCTGTCAATGTCCTGGATCAATTCTGTCTCTCGAGCATCAGCGACGAACCGCACAAAGGCAGTGAGAAAACTCAGGGAGGCCCGTATTAAGAGAGGGATCCGCTCCCACAGACAGACAGGCGGTAGATCCAGGAATCAGGCTACAGACCGAGGACCGAGGCCACAGCACGAGGACTGATCGCCCCAAACACAACCTCATTTTTTTGACGATCTTTACAGAATTCCATTGATTTGATGGGGAGCCTTCAAAATGGGTGTCCAAGTGAGATAAAAAAAATATACAAAAAATAAACCATTTCATTTTAAAGCACTCAAAACAAATTTGCGGTGAATCTCTGGCTCTCATTGGCGCCACCTGGATGTGAAAGCCAGATCCTGTCAGAACTCTGAAGCTAAGCACAACAGGGCCTGGTCAGTACTGGGATGGGAGACCTCTGGGAGCCACAATCGTTCCAGAGTGTGTGACTTCATGTGACTGACAGAGGCACAAAGGATTCTGATTCTGAGAGACGGACTAAAGCTCTCTTTGCATTTCATACGAAATTGTAGAAGGAGGTAATCAGCAGGGACAGAAGTTAGGTCTGATTACAAGGACAACAAGACAATCAGACGCCACCATTGTAGTTCGAAATCATAGGGTCCAAAACATTTTACTAACCGGGCCATCACAGTTCACCAGACTGAGGCCAACTGTTAAGAGTGAATAAAAACTGGGTAAATTACAAAATAAAGCTATTAACACAAACCAGACTACCGCAGTCTGCCAGTGGCCCTCTCTCTCTCTGGTCTCTCTCTGACCTTGCTCTCTGGTCTCTTGCTAGTCTCGCTCTGGTCTCTCTCCGGTGCTGTCTCTCTGGTCTCTCTTTGGTCTATCTCTTGTCTCTCCGGTGTCCTCTGCAGCTGTATTTTACAATTAATGCACAGCTTTAGAACGTAAACAGTACACCATCGATTGGTGGTGGGTGAAGATGACTGTGGGGTGAAAATACTGGGTTCTTTTGGCCTCACAATCAGGCATGAATCTTACCAACACAAAATAAGTGGCCAAATTAAAAAATATATATATATAACATATGAGTCTTACCTACGAAAGCCTTACTTCAACGTAAGAATAATTAGAAAGAGAAAAAAAGACTGACTGATGCCTGTAATCTGGTTTCAATTGTACCCCAGTTGTAGAAAGGAAACTATGAGAAATATGTGAACGACCATCCAGACGTCTGCTGTGTGATTTAAAGTGTTACCGGCAAAAAAGAACTGCCAAGTTTATTCTATAGTTTCATATTTGTGATGCACTGGATCTCCTGCTGTACGTTTCTCCATCTGCAGCTGAAAGAAAACAATCCAGGAACACGTGCGAAAACAGCATCATTCTCAGCCCATAGTTCTTACAAAGTGGATGATGGAGTCTATTAAAGCCGAGGAACATACGTTTTAAACCACAGACAAATGTAGCTATGTATTACAATCCCATATAACCTGTGTGTGTGTGTTAAAGTCCATGTCACGCGAGCTTTGGCTGTCACGTGACAAATACTATTTACCAGAAAAAGTAACATATAGGTGTATAATTATGTATATATTTATGTGTATATTTATAATTGTAAACAACACACAATTGGGAGCAACACAGCTGCACAGACTGGATGCCACACATCTGTCAGTGTGCCCCAGGGCAGCTGTGGCTACTGTAGTAGCTTATAGTTTAAGGAGTGAATGAACAATGAAATGTGAAGCGTCTTTGTCCAGAAAAACTCTACATAAAACCAATGTATTATTATTATTATTATTATTATTATTATTATTATTATTATTGTTATTAGGGAAGTCGCTCTGGATCCTATAGATTTACATGTAAAAGTAAACTCCTCTAGCTCAGTAACCATTTAAGTCACAAATAATCTGTGGTTTAGCCCCCTCTGTGATCCTGGTGTTTATATTGTATTATTGTCTCACTGTAAATCCAGATATGAGCCATAAAAGGATTGACCAATCAGATGCCTTCTTTCAAGTGGGTAACCAGCTCGCTTTAGCAACCGTTAGTGTCATGGTTTGAGTTTATTTCCTGTTTTATTTTGAAATGTGTTATTCCTGTGTCTTCTTTGGTTGTACTTCCTGTTGTCTGATTACCTGCCCTGCCCTCATCTGTCTCACCTGTGTCTCGTTAGTCTTGTATTTAGCCCTGTGTGTTCCTTCACTCCCTGTTCCGTCATTGTCTTTCCTAGTCTGTTTTAGTTCTGTCTGTTCCCTGTGTTTTTGGTAGGTTTTGATTTGTATTACTTTCATTAAATCCATCATTTTGCAGTTTTGGCCTTTTGGGCCTCATTTGTTTTTCACCCACGTGACAGAATGACGGAACCACTCAAGGCCCAAGCAGACTGCTTTATTTTTGTTTTTTATTTTTTGTCATCTCTGGCCCATCTTTGTCCCCGACTGGTCTTGACAGTTGCTGCAGGAGCTGGACGCATTCCCTGTCTGTCTGTCTGTGTCCTGGACCACTGCAGGACACTTAGCTCCGTCCTGGGTGGTTGCAGGCTTCCGTTCCTGACCTGGCTCCGCTGGATATTGTTCTCCATCCAGGGGGCCTTCTGTACCCGTTTGGCTCCAGTCCTGGCTCCAGTTCCTGCTCCAGCTCTTCCGCTCCAGCTCTTCGGCTCCACGCCCCGGCCCCGGCTCCACGTCCCGGCCCCGGCCCCGGCTCCACGTCCCGGCCCCGGCTCCACGTCCCGGCCCCGGCTCCACGTCCCGGCCCCGGCTCCACGTCCCGGCCCCGGCTCCACGTCCCGGCCCCGGCTCCACGTCCCGGCCCCGGCTCCACGTCCCGGCTCCACGTCCCGGCTCCACGTCCCGGCTCCACGTCCCGGCTCCACGTCCCGGCCCCGGATTCACGTCCCGGCCCCGGCTCCACGTCCCGGCCCCGGCTCCACGTCCCGGCCCCGGCTTCACGTGCCGGTTACACCCCCCCGGTCCTTCCTACGGTCCCCCTCCTCCCTCCCTGGTTTTGTTTTTGGGACGTCTGGGATCCGTCCCTTGAGGAGAGGGTACTGTCATGGTTTGAGTTTATTTCCTGTTTTATTTTGAAATGTGTTATTCCTGTGTCTTCTTTGGTTGTACTTCCTGTTGTCTGATTACCTGCCCTGCCCTCATCTGTCTCACCTGTGTCTCGTTAGTCTTGTATTTAGCCCTGTGTGTTCCTTCACTCCCTGTTCCGTCATTGTCTTTCCT